AATAGATTACAAAATGTAAAATATATTATAATTGATGAGATAAGCATAGTCAGTCATCAAATGCTTAGTCTAGTTGATATGAGACTTTAACAAGTATTTCTTGAGCATAATAATGAACACTTTAGTAGTAGATCAATTATTTTGTTTAGTGATTTCAGGCAAATTCTGCCTGTTCTTGATCTTCTTATATATACTAGTATTTTACAAGATCCATTATTTAATAATGGTCTTATAGTATATAATCAGTTTAAAAAGCATATAAACTTGATGTTGTTCAGCATCAATCTAAAAATACTAAAGAATAATAGGACTTTAAAGATTTTTTCATACAGTTGTATGATGGAGAGTCTATATTAATTGACTGAAGGTACTTACTACATGATTTAAAGATAATTTAAGCAGAATAGAGCGTAATAAATTCTCTAAAGTTATGTTCATTCTAACAAAATAGTCTGATATTAACATAATCAATATAGAATAGTTTAAATCTTTAAATGCTCCTATCGTCATAATTCTTGCTATACATACAGGTGGAAACGAAGCTAAAAAAGCTTATTTTAACATTGCACATAGACTTAAAGCAAAATTTTTATTAACAAAAGATTTGCGAGTTATGCTGATTTCAAACTTATGAATGAAGGTTGGATTAGTCAATGATTCAATAGGAACTGTCTAGGATATTCTATTTGGAAAAGACCAGGAGCCACCTTCTTTTTCTATGGCAGTTTTTATTCCTTTTGATAATTATGAAGGGCCCATTATGATCAGCTTAGAAGGTATAAAAGTTATTCTAATTACACCTATTCGACGTATCTGAAAGGACAAGTCTGGAACTTGTTCATACTTACAGATTTCTCTTTGTCTCGCATAGGTAATTATGATACATAAAAGCCAAAATCTTACGCTACAAAAGGCCATAGTAGATCTTGGCGGTAAAGAATTTTCAGCTGGTCTTTCTTTTGTGACAGTGTCTCAGGTTCATTCTATCAGAGATCTCATTTTCAAGCCCTTTAATTTTGAGAGACTCCAACATATTAGAGAATTCAAAAGATTAAAGGAAAGGAAAGAAAAAGAAGAATGCTTGGCTTTCTTGATACCTCAAAACTATAAACTAATTTTTTTTTATTTATTGTATTTTATTGCTAAGAAAAATTAACAATCATGACAAATCTGAAAATGCAATTTTTACAAAAACTGAATTTTTTTTCTTTTATTCATGTATTATGCATAATAAATACAATACTAAATAAATAAATAAAATACAAATGCTATGTCTAAAAAATGTACTATTGCTAAAAGAAAATAGTATTCACGACAAAAAAAATAAGCATCTTGAAAAATTATTTTCACACCTTATTTTGGTATCATTATACAGCTTAAATTTGTACGACTTTATTTACAGCTTATCTTGCTCATTTATCTTCTATATTATTTATTTATTATATTATTAATTAATTAACAAACATTTTTTATTTTTATTATTTTTTTATTATTTTTATTTTATTTTATTGTTTTTGTTTATTTTTTTATTTATTTACTGATCTTATCGTACAAGCGGCGGGACAAACGGAAATACTCACGTGACTAAAATTTTCACGATTCCTAAAAGTATAATGTCCTACGCTTCGCTCCGGACAATTACAATAAAGTAATATTAAAAATGGTTAGGCTATTTACAATAAAATGAAAATAGAACTACAATCGCTTTGTAAATGAAATAAGTTGAAACATTCATTTACCCCTTTAAAACAAAGAAAAGACAAAAAGGTAGTTTTAAAATTACATCCGCAAAAAAAAAAAAATCTCGTTGCTAAAACCTGGCAATTATTAAATGTAACGTTGCAACTGACCGTAATTACAAATGGGAATATTTTACGTGGATCAACCAACAATAATTAATATTGTAAACCGTTAAACAGCACAAAGTTAATTATTTGAAATCATAATTCTTAATTTGAATAATCAACTCGGAATGAAAATTGGCCAATTTCGTTATACAAATAAAAATTTTATTTTCTATTCACTTTCAAATAAGAAAAGAAATAAATAACACGCGTGTAGTTTGTTATGATTAAATTTTGACCATTTTTGTTTATTTCGGAATCAAATTTTTTTGAAAGTACCTTTTTTGTCTTATAAATACGAATATAATAATAATAATAATAATAATAATAGTATCCGATTTTTTCAATGACTTTATTTGTGGATAATAAGTATTTAAATGGCCTTTAAATTTGCGTTTTGAAAGTTGATTTCTTTTGTATGAATGAGCTCATGTTTTTAAAAAAAAAAGAAATCCTATAATGCCAAGAATCGCGTAATCGTCAAGGCACCTCGTGATGGAATGTTATCGTGAATATAACCTATCTACCTAACACCAAAAAAAACATATTTTATTCGCTTATTTACAAGCAATAATGTTCAAACTTCAATAATTCTGCAACAACATAGCCATCATCACCCACATTTAAAATTATTTTATTTTAAACATCTATGCAGATGTATAATGAAGTTCTTATGTAATTTTACTTAAGAAATTATTAATATGATATTAATTTTATGTTCTATAATTGTTTTCTTCCCTTTCCTTTCCTTTTCGTTTTTTATCTTTTACTACTGCGTGATTACACACACATATTTTACCATTTTCGTTTCATTTCTCATTTTATTATTTTATTTTTCAGAATTTTGTCGTGTTATATAATTACATTTAAATCGTTTTACCCCGTCTTTCTTCTTTTAACATATACCTAATCGTTAATGAAATTTTAGTTCAAATTTTATTAATCTATCCGCTTCTCGAATTTTTAGTTTTAGCTTTATTTAAATTAAATAAGTAAAAAGTAATGTCAACATTAAGTTTGAAAGTTTTAGTTTCCTTATATGATTTATTCATTTATTTTGATAAATTTAATCTCGATCGTAAGATTCACAGATTTATAATGTCTCGTGAGACAAAAATCTGAATATTGGAAAAATTTTTTCGTGAAAATAATATGATTATTTTTATTAATTAAACCAGCAACAGATAAAATTAAATTAATTTTTATTGTCCGATAGAAATGCATAATTTAAATTATTTTTAAACATAATTAATTTAAAAAGTTATCTTTTGAGCGTGAACATTGATTCAAACGCATTGAATTATAAAATATGTTTTTATTGAAGTCATTTCACTAAATAAAAATTAAAATCAGGTGTGATCCTTAAGAACTTTGTCTGACCAAAATAAGAGCAATTAATTTACATATTTGAGAAATATTCACATAACTGAGTAATTTTTAATTTCCGCATGAACGAACTTTGGTCCGTTTAGCATTATTCCATGTACTTCAGGTAAAAAATGACCGAATTATAATTTGATTCTACATTTACTTTAATTTGCATAACAAAGCGCTACTATTTATAAATAATTTATCAATTAAATCTATTACTTTTTTCAAATGTTCTCGCTTATACAATCAGCTATTATTGGAAGGAAGATTTTCTCTTTGTTTGTTAACATATCAGTCGAAATGTTCAAATTATTAACCCAATTGAAAAAATGCTGTTCCATTTGGTGCGCTATGTTTTAATAAAATTAGGATAATTAAATGACAGTTATTTAAGAGAAGGTGGGATTGAATATAATTATCATTCACGTGGTTTTGTCTTCCTTTTCATAAGAAAAAAGTACATATTAAGGAAATTATAAAGGTACTCTTCATGACATATACATTAACAGGACTTCCAAGATCATCTCGAAAATATTTTATAATGAGATGCTAGTTCTGGCAAATATTCCACTGCCATGATTATGATGAACGTGGTTGCCACTTATATATGATTTTTGTGAATAATGAAAGTTACCTGTTATTCGTATAACATTTATTGATTTAACTTTAATCAGATATAAGTGTGATAATTTGCAACAGCAATTTTATCCATGTAAATTTCATACGCCCTAGCATAACGTGATCATTGAGTCGACCTTATCTGTAGTATATGATCATCATGTAATGGGAGATTTCTATAATCCCATCTGAATAGGTCAAGATGATTCAGTTCAACAGAAGAAGTCCCTCCAAGCTCAATTATAACTGATATCCACTTTTGAATCAACATCGCATTCATCATAATGATAATTAAATGCTATATGAAAAATCTGATATTAAATTTGAGAGATTTAAATGTGAAGAATTTTTTAGAATTTATTGGTCTATTTTTTAATAAGAATGAGGGTTTTTATGACACGATAAAGATATGAAATTACTTTGAACGAATTTCTCGATATATTTGATTCAAACTATTTTTTTTTGATTTTGTGTTAAAACCGGTCAACTGAATATTTTTTAAAATAATTACTTTAATGTTCGACTTTATGCCTTAAATTGCTACTAATAAATTAAGAATTGAATTCAAAAAATATGTATATATTTCCAAAATTGATCCATTATTATAATAATAATAATAACCCTAATTTACATTTGATCTATTAACTATCTTCCGAATTTAACGAAAATTTTTCTTGATTAATAAATGAAAAATTTTAAAACTAAAAAAAAACAAAATCTTCTTTATGATGACCTACCGTATTAATAGTATCAATACGTTTGATACTGAGTATAAAATTTCGGACTGGCCTTTCTAATCCAGATTACCCTGCGCACCACCATCGAATCTTGGTGACGTAAACCAAAGATTATAAAAAAATTTAAAAAAATATTTTGTCACAATGGCTTGTATCTATCGCGGAAAGCTTCTATATTTCGAGAAAACGCCTTGGTCAAATTTATAACGCTTCTATCGATTACCTACACAACAAACATCTCACAATCTTTCATCCAGGATGTTGATTGAATCACTCAACCGAGAATTGTCACATTAATTGTAGGAAACCTAACGTTCCCTCATCTATCACACACCAGACAAAATCCTATCCGTACCCTCAAACAAGAGAAAGTACTTATCTTTACTGCACCCTAGAACGATTTCTAATACAAACTTTACACAATCATGGATTATTCTCGTAACATTCGAGCGCATGCCTTATACTCTGAAACCTTTGGCGCCTCAATGATGAAGATATCGATCAAACAACCAATCCAAACTCCCTCAAGCGTGTTGCCGATTGGTTGAAAATTCCTTTCGCTAACATGATATTGTACTTTGAACGACATTAACAACATAACTGACACTTTTCCAAGTTGAGTCTGTGATCACTCAAGAATTGAGTCATATCACACAATATATCATGTGATTTTTTGTAATAAATCTTTTGTACACGTCATTTGAATTCATAGATACTCTTTGAAGTGTAATATTCATATTATGCTCCTAAAACATGTCGAGCCAACCTAAAAAAGTCTGAAAGGCGGTATCTACTTTGGATGGAGATGACAGATGATAGGTCCGCGAGGACTCAGGCTTTATGCAAGTGTCTTGAATAAGTCCAATGAAAATAAAGGCAACCGAACGGAACGTACTCTGATGAACTACGATCCAAGATGAAGATTCCACCATATTGGGCATTGTTGTCCTATTTACAGCTCGAAAATTGTGGCACTATCAAAACACTTAAAGAGGCCAAAATATGAAATGATCTTCAAGATATAACATCGACTCGTTATCTTGATATTTTCCAAACAAAAAAGATCTTTTCCTTCATCTGAGTATTTTTTAGTAATTTCCTTTAGAGGTGAGTGTCAGAATTTAATTAGTCTCTGATGAATCCCAAAAAATTCTAATGAATTTATTTTCAAGATCAATAATATTTTTTGGAGTTTTGTATCTCGACATACTATTCATTGTTTAATTATTTCGGCTTGGCTAGCTTGAATCCACAACGGATGACCTTCAACGCTTGATGCTCAGCAGATCAATAATAACCGAATGTCAAACTCTTTCAAGAGTCATAATTAAAAGAACTTTCAAAGTAAGGAATCGTGGCTTCATTAGTTTCTTGAAGTACTAATTCAGGAACAAATCTCTATGTTCTCTTCATACACATGTTTGAACGCACGCACCTGTTTCAAATTCTTATTAGCAGATATGACCTCAAATATGGAATCAAGTGTAACGAACTTTTCCAATCTATTTCATTAATATATCGTACCAATATTCTAACAGCTAAAGAAGTTCCCAAATCATAATTTCTATGACCTGGTGCATCTATCGACGCTCATCTGTTTCAAATAACGCGTCCACATTCTACTGATTCCCTGTAAAAAAAAATAAATGACAATTGAAAATAATAATAAAATATTACGATAAATATATTGAAGATAAGTAAAATAAATACCTTTGCACGTTATTCCTTAATATATAAAGCACCATAATAATTACCATGCCCGTCTTTGTTCTTTAGCTTCATTTCGTATTTATCTGATCAAACCGATGGTGTAAATTCCGGGATTGCTCTCGGTGGTTTAATAATAACAGTTATGATGGTGATAGCTCGAGAAAGAAAAAAAAGAATTACCATTCCTGTCAAAACCTTTTTCATAAAAATGTAAATTAGTATTAACAAAATAAATCGATGATCGTTTCTCTGAATGATACTCACAGGATATTACTGAATATAGTGCATCTAATTACAAATCGAAATAATAATCGTAAACATTTCCTTCGGATATAATGATCAAAGAGTAAAAAATGGAATTTAAATTATAATACTAACCTACATTTCCGATAAATACCAATTTGAAATGCCTTTTTTCCATATAATTCCAGACTCTGCCTCTTCGAAAACCCTTTAGAAGTTTCGCTTATATTCTCTTCGAGCATGAATAATGATCTAGACGAATTCGTACACGTCTTAGAAAATTTTCTCCAAGCTTCAAAATGCTAAAATTACGCGTCAATTTTCTTTGAAGAAGCCGCGAAAAATTAGAACTTTTGACGATATTACAGCATACTACTGCTCGACAACAGCGTTGGTCGCATTTTCGACCATATTGAAAGAATCCTCAGCGACATACAAAGATTTTTTGCTGCTCAAATAGTAGAGCAAGCATCTGAATTCCAGCTGCTGGTAAAGTTTTTGGAGGGTTGGAATGTCTGAGACGGAAATATACGTCGTGGTCATTACTAACGATCGCTGCTATATGTGCCGACCGTTACGAACGGTTGAAATGATTTCCAAGAATAATAATAACAGTATAAATATATTAACTGAGCAGCAATAAACGCGTCATTAGTCCGGAGCTCGCAAAACATTTGCAGCACATGATCGACGCGTGAGTAGGCAAAGATACGAAATCGATTAGGGTTAAAACTTAATTAATTATTCTCCGGAAAGTGCTGGCAATCCATTATCCATTTGAGAAGGTATGAAATAAAAACTATTTCTCATGATTTTTTTTTACTTTATTGACATTTATTTAATTTCAAAACTTTATAATTAAATAAATAGTAATCATGCTAAAGTCAATTGGACGATTATACTTATATTATGGCTTTGAGATCAACCGGTTTTGCTTTATTGCAGTATAGTATTCCTCCATGAATTTTTAGATACAATTCTATCGCTCATAAATTGTAATAATACTCTTAATAGATCTTATATTGGTGTCTCATCAACTGATTCTTCTGATGACTAACAGATTTCTTGGAGAAACAAACAATTCTTCTGTTATAATAGAAAATGGAAAACAACGAGAAATCTAATCAACAAAATCTTCCTTAAAAATTCAAATAGCTAATAGATCATACGAAATTATTGAATTCTTTTTACGACAAGTCAAATTCACAATAGTATCTGGAGCTGTATAATTTTTTTGAAAATTAATCAACATCTTATTTGCTGATATTTCAAGAACTAAAAAAAAAACAATTGCTCTATTAGAACAAGTTAAAATGTAAATTTTATTGGTGTAGCCAGTAAGATGCTATGGAAGAATTCAATTTGATGCGAAGTTACATCTCTTTTTAAAATCTAAACTCACTATGAAAGTTTAATATTATCGCGTCGAAAGTTTATTTATTAAATGTTTAATGAAATTTTTTTTGTTGAGATTATATATTTTTTTATCAAATTCTAACGCTGGATATTTAGACTGCAAAATTTATACCGGAATTTGGATTTGGTGTAAAATTGAAGCTTCATAAACGTGCTCAGTTAGTCGTATTGTTAAAGACACTTCTATTATGATTCCTGAACTTATTCACGAATTATTTTCAAAATGGCTTTTTGAAAAGGATGATGCAGAACTTACAAAGAAGTATTTGTGTCAGAACCTAAAACAGTTTTTTCTCTTGCCGAACCATTTCGACTCTGACAAATATTTGTTAAATTGATAATTGTGTTCAGATGATAAGCTTATGATACTGGAAATTCTGGCGTTCATCATGTAATTATTTCTGAAGATATAAATATGTTTACTATTGATTCTTAATCTGATTCAACACTTATACAATACTGGTAATTTAGATCAGATGGAAATGGTATAATAAAATTTTTAATGACGTGGTTATAATCTTAAAAATTTTAATTCCTTTTTTATTTTTATTTTTTTTTTAAAAAACAATAACCTAGTCCATAGAGATAAATATTCTTTGTCGGCTATCTGTATATATGGAAGGAAATGTACTGTTATATTTGAAGAAGATAAAATTACAGTTTGCAAAATCATAGATTTATTAAACAAATAAGGAAATATTTAATGAAATTACCAAATATAGCGTTACCAATTGGTAAGTAGCAAATCGATTATTAGCTTTAAATCTTTTAATATTAATAATTGGTAAATTTGCTTTCGTATTCGTTCCTTTAAAAATGCTCTTGAAAATAGATAACTCTTCGATTCGAACGTCCATTTGAGCTCAACTTTTCCAAACTTATTCTGTGAGAAAGTTTCTGATATTGGTGAATATTCAATTTAAATGACAAGATTAATTTTTGAACTAAGGATGACTTGTGAGTTAACATATCTCTTGGAATTGTCTTTGCTTTCTGGTGACTTGCTGAGATCTTATTAGTCCGGAACGAGTCGATGCTGATTGGCTTTTGCAATTGCGCTATGATGAAAATGTATCGCTGTCCGCCCGTCCTTTCATTACACTTGTTGAGTTTATCTTTTTCTAAATCCTAGGGTTTTTGGAACTATTTGGACATTAAAACTCGCTTCAGCTCAATTTTTTTAGTTCAACTTTTACATGAATATTACACCACGATGTTATCATTCAGATTTACGCGTAAACATCCACAATTCAACCAATGGTTTTTCTCAAGCTTGTTATTTGAGTTTCAGAACAGTTAAGATAAGTTAAGGAGTTAGGTTCAGTATGAACTCTGGTATGTTTCACACCAAATAAACCTTCGATTTTTTTAGTTCAACTTCTACATGAATATTATACCGCGATGTTGTTATCATTCAGATTTACGCGTAAACATCTTTCCACAATTCAACCAATGGGTTTTTCTCAAGCTTGTTATTTGAGTTTCAGAACAGTCAAGATAAGTTAAGGAGTTAGGTCCAGTATGAATTCTGGTATGTTCATTTAAAGTAAGCTGTTGAGCAAATACTTTTCCACAAAGGTTCCAAGATTGAAAAAAAAAAGAGATTTGGGGTAGTATAATAAGGTTCGTCTATCACGTCATGGAAGTGACCTTTTCCGTCAGTGAATATATCAGAGAAAAGTAAGGGTTCTAAGTTCAGGTTATACATTTGAAATCGGTATTCGTAACGTTTCACTCTCTTGAAGATTGAAAGAAATATAGTCTTTCTGCAATCTTTACACAATAAAGTTGGTTGTTTATTTTGATAATAAAAACTTGGTCTAAGGTACTTATATAAAAAATACTATATTAATTAATATATTTTTTTTTTGTTAAAAACAATTAAATTGAAATCTCTGGTCGAACGTTAACATCCCCAATTCTTACCCAAAAAGTCGCAGTCACGTGATCATGATAAAATATTGTTGTCTCGGTTTTCAGATGCGTCACTTCCAAGGGTGAGTACTCAAAAAATTTTTAAATTTTAATAATAGTTCGTTATAAAAAGTGTAAAGGTTCATATAGAAAACATATAGCGAGCTTTTTTTTCTAACGGAACCGTCGGAGCGCTAACTGTAATTTAAATTTAATATCATTTTTTATTTTTTTTTATATAATTACAGCATGTTCGAAATTATATTGTTCGTGCTGAAAACAACGAACTTTCTTGGACAATCGAACTACAATTAATGAATTGCATCAAGAGCTCAAAATAAAGGGACCCCGCGGAATGTATGTCTTATTACAGATTCTCTTATTTTACCATTAATCTTTATTGAAATTTTTTTTTTTTTTTTTTTGCAAGGCTAACAACAAAGTGTTGATTTCACATGTGCAAAAATGCGCTTCTCAACGCAAAAATCTTGTAAATTGGTTTTTATTATTATCGTTAATCTTAAAGTAATAATATATTTTCACATATGAAAATCAATCCCTTTATACAATATGAGGCGTTTTCTTGGTGAAGCTTATTAAATTTTCCAGGATTCGAAACAATGTTAGATTCTAATGCGTTAATAAAGATCAAGAGAAA